ATAGCTCAAAGGTGAGTTCTTGAGCCCTTTTCCTACTTCATTTTTGTTTCAAAATCCCTCATGCAATATAGATTTGACCATTCAAGCCATGAGTTATTTGTTTGGAAGAGAAAGTCGTGGGGTTTCATCCAAATCATAAAGAAAAAGGTGTGGCTAAATAATGACCTTCATTTCGGGATCCTAGTATCAAGGTAGTGTATTTCTAATCCGTTGGAGTATTAAAGTTTCATAAATTCTCGGTGTTTGATAAGATTTGGATAATTGAGCATTTTAGGGTTCTTATTTGATTTTTAAACCAAATCACGTTTTAGGTGTTAATAACATGTTTTAATGATGCCTAATGACCCTAAATAACTTACAAAAGCTTTTTAATAAGTTTAGAAACCAACCCATGTCGTTTGGGGTGATTTTTCAGTGATTCTCGAGCTTAAGCAAGTCATTCCTAGAAAAATGATCGATCCATCGACCAAAGGGATCGATCCCTAAGTTTTTGTTCAACAAATGATCGATCCCTTTTGAATAGAATCGATCCCTCGAGAGAAATGATCGATCCCTTTTTAAAAGGATTGATCCATTGGAGATAAGGATCGATCCCCCGAAAGAAAGTATTGATATTTTCTCTATTTTACTCGATGAAAAAGGATGGATTTGCATTCATTAAGGGTCCTAAGTGTTGTTGATTGTTCTTTTAACCCTATTAAGGTCCGTAATATCTAAGGACGGTCTGTAATAGTAAGACTTAGTCCGTGAGGGACATAAATGATCCAATATACCTAAAAACACTCATAGGAGTAGGTTACATCGGGTGTAACCATATTAAGTGTAATACTAAAAAATATCTTCAATAAAAAACGTATACATATATTTGGGATTGAGGATCAATATATGAGATACCTGATGAGCGGTACGATAAACATGTCATATTCAGTATCGACGAAGAGCGTGTTGCTTCGAGAACTCAATGAACTGAAAATGGATAAGTCGTTGCACTACTTCGATGGTATTGTGAGAAGTACGATAAGAGAATTATGAGTGTTGTTACCCAGCAATGAGCCCGAGTCAAGTATCAAGCTAACCAGTGAATCAGTCAGTGTATTGCAAGCACCATAATCACCGGGAAATTGAGAAATGCTTAGAGACCCCTCTGTAGTAGAACTGAGTAAAATACCCTATAAGTATTAATACCCCTCCCATAACGTCCTAGGAGAGAGGAAGAGCGGGATAGTCTCGAGATGAAAGGGATATGACCTCATTTGACTTCAATAAGTTCAGTAGCGAGTGATCGAGCTACTTCGCTTGTTGCAGCTTGGCATCAATTGACGTGTGTTAAGGCATAACTCTATATGAGAGCCTTATAATAATAATGATACAATAACATTAATTGTGTGATAGTCATAAAAGCCTTATGAGGTAAGATTTCATAAGGCTTATGTCTTTGTGTGTCGCCCGGGAAACAACGAGGACACCCGAGTTACTTTAGTAGTAGGACGATCGTCTTGTGTGCATAAGATATTCAGATATATCAAAGTCAGTGCAAAATGCACTTTAGTCTCTAGTTGAACGTGGTACTAATGTTATGTGACCCAGACACGTTCTGAGTACTCAATAAGAGTAGATTAGCCATGCAAGGTGTCGATGTTGTGTGACTCGGACCTAGCCTAAGTATTGGGAGATGTCGATGCTATGTGACCCGAACCTCACCTAAGATACTTAGAAGATGCTGATGATGTGTGACCCAAGTCTACCCAAGATAACTCTAGTAAGAAAATAGAGGTATAGGTTCCGTGATGCTAAGTGTCCCCCGAGCTACACCACGATGCTTACTTATTGTTGAGTGATAGTATCAGCGTCTCTGTGATACCGGGTAACGTCATTGTGTTTGGCATAGTGATGCATTATAAAATGATAACGATGTTAGAGACTTAGTACGTGTAAAATGAGGTTAGAGACTTAGTAATTGTATACTCATGGTGGTGCCCTTGGCGAAGACTAAGAAAAGTATGAGAGGTAGATTTGAGTGATAGAATTGGAGGAGTTTACATGGGTAGCACTTATTGGAATCATGCTTGTACCTACTGCTTAGTACTATGTCTCTAGCACTCTTTAGTATATGAAATTCTTATGTTGCTCTAGATTAGCAATTATACTACTGAGCTTTGTAAACTCAGCCTTCGGATGTTTTCCGTTGACAGGTCCGTAGCTTGAACAATTTGTGGAGTACCGTTACCGTAGGACTTCCAGCATCTCCGACAGAGTGTTGTACTGTAGCTTTAGTGTGTATGTGTATTCATAGAACCTTACTTATGTATTTGAGTTGTAAACTTCAAGATGTATTATTTTGATTTAAATCATGCGTCACAGAGCTCCGTTTTGTAAAATGTTTTATACTAGTTGTTTATGTTTTATTATGATACCATTCAGTACATTTGAAAAGAAAATTAACATGTTTTGAGGATCAGAGTTACCTCGACAACCCAATGTGGCACTTTAGGTGCAATCAGGTCTAGGGTGTTACATTGGAAACATTAGACACATACTTTTAGCGAAAATTTCTTTAGGCACTAAAACGTTTTTCAAAGAATAGTTTTTATTTTTGCATTAAGTCAAATATTAATAATGTAAGATTTGTTATTTTAATCGTCAGACGTTAACACTTTAATGATATCACTGATACGATATTTTTATTTTTCACATTATATTTTCTCTCATAATCCATGTTTCATTTTTAATAATTTTATAGGTAAACTACAAGTTTAATATATAAACTATCATTTTTATTTGGCTTAAGGGTCACATTTGTTACGGTAGTAAACCTAATTTATCACTTTCATCCCTATCGTGTTTTCGCATCAATTTAGTCCTCGAATTTGCTCAATTGCATCATTTTTTATCCTACGCTGACTTAAAACCTTAAATTATAAATCCTAAGTTATGGTTTATGATTTAAAATTTATGGTTTAAAGATTATGAAGTTATGATTTAGGGGTTGGGGTTTATAATTTAAGGTTTTAAGTCAGCGTAGGATAAAAAATGATGCAATTGAGCAAAATCGAGGACTAAATTGATGCGAAAACACAATAGGGGTGAAATTGATAAATTGAGTTTACTACAGGGGTAAAAGTTACCCTTTTGCCTTTTTATTTTGTTTTAGTATTTAAACTTTTATTTATTTCAAAATCATACTTAACGTTTTTTTTTTAATTTTAGTACAACACCGTTAAAAACTTAACGGAGCTGTTGTTCGTGGCTTTTTGTATGGATAAATTATATCATTCATCACTCAATTATATTCTCACTCCTATTTTGGTCATTGAAGTTTAATTTTTAATTTAATCACTTAACTTTCAAATTACTCATATTTTAATCATTAAACTTATTTTTTTATGATATGACATATTTTAATTATTATTTTATTAATATATGATTAAAATAAAAAAAGGAAGATATGAGTTGGAGAGGCCGATAAGAGTGAGGCTGTGAAAATGGGGTGAGCGGTTTGCGATTTAGGATTTGTGGTATAAGTTTTAGGTCTAGAAATAACTTTAAATTTAATTTTTATTTTAATTGTGTGTTAATAAAATAATAATAATAAATATCATGTCACAACAAATATTAATAAAATAATTTAAAGTGATTAAAATAAGAGCAATTTGAAAGTTGAGTAGTTAAATTGAACATTTTTAAATTTTAGTGACCAAAATAGGAGTGAGAAGATAGTTGAGTGACAAATTATGTAATTTATTCATAAAAATGTCATGTACTGTAGTTTCGCTTAGTTTTTATCAGCATAGTTCTAAAATGAAACAAAAAATAAATGTTATATATGATTTTGAAATAAATAAAAGTTTAGGTACTGAAACAGAAAAAAGTGATAGTTTAGATACTAAACATATAATTAACCTTAATTTTATTTAACCAATAAAATATTAATATATCACAAATCTTATTGATCAAATAAAAATATATTATCTACATTAAAAAATGATTTAAACATTAAATTTCTTATAGAAGATCAAAGTTTAGCTATTAAACTAACACATGATTTAAACATTAGAACCTAAACTTACATTATATATTTATTTACTATGTTATACACATGAACATGCGCAATACTTTATAGTAGTGAGGTAAATTTAAACTTAAGGGGTAAACTAAAATTTCAAGGTGACAGAAACATATTTCTAATAAAATTACATAGAAAAAATTAAAAATATATGATAATTTTAAATTTTTAGGGAGACGACTACCTTTATCTGCCCCTTGGTCTCTCCTGGTTGTACACGTATATTTAAACAACAAACTCTAATTTTAGTTATTATATACAAGTTTATACAAGCTATCATTTATCATGTATATTCATTAAACTAACACATAATTTAAACACTAATTACTACGTATAGACCACCAAAAACAAATTGCAAATCTTGACATGAAATTTGTGGAAAAAATATAACTATACATTTAGCACTTCAACGGCCACTTTAAATTTGTTTTGATCATTTAACTAAATTTCTTTTAAAAATCATACTTAATATTTAATTTTAGTTTCATTTTGATCATTTGTTATTAAAAAATTTAACGGTGATGTTGACATGTCACCATAAATTAATACCATATTATCATTGAAAAATAAAAATGTCGTGTTCACATTTTTGTTAATTTTTTTAACAATGAGTGATCAAAATAAAATAAAAACATAATGTTAGACATGATTTTGAAAAAATAATTGAGATACCAAAACAAAATAAAAGTCATAGTTGGGATAGGGAAAGTGTAGTTTACCCTGAAAACATTACTGTTTCAGTTTTGAACTCCTTTTCACTGACATCGAGCCGACCGGCGTGAATTTAACCGCAAACCAACAATCCCAATTTTAACTTACCCGTACCGATCCGAGCCTCAGTACTCCAGACGACACGAGTCGATCTAATTTCCATTTCTAAATCCTAATCCTAATCCCTATCCGCTCTTCGATTTCCTTTGTCAAACCGGTCCGGTTCAGGTCACAACCGAGCTGGGTGAAGAAAAAGGTCCAAGTAGTACGCATAAAAATTATCTTCCCCCTCCCGTCAGAGTCTCCTTTCTAATGGAGACGATTACTCCCTCATTTTAGCTTTCGAAAACTTAGCTGAATCTCCCTCCGAATCAGAGCCTTCAAGTTTGAAAACGCTGCGGTTTAGCGAGATCTAGATTTCAGAATGGAAGAAGAGAAAGGAGAGCTTGTGCAGAGCTTGATCGATGCGGTGAACCAAATAGCTCCTATCGGAGATTACAGATGTGCCGTGAAGAAGGAGTTTTGCAATCTCTCTAGGAGACTGAAGCTGCTAACGCCAATGTTCGAGGAGATTGGAGAGAGCAAAGAGCAAATCCCTGAAGAAATTGTTAAAGAGTTGGTCTCGTTGAAAGAAGCTTTGATTTCGGCTAAGGAGTTGCTCAGACTCGGCAGAGAAGGAAGCAAGATTTACCTGGTGCGTGAGTATTGTTTTTCGATTTCTTTTGGATCTGTTTGGCTGCTGAGAAAATGATGGAACACTAGTTTGTCAAGTGCGTGCAGATAATCACGTAATCAGAATATTTCTCACCGTAACATTATCTAAAATCAATTGATAAAAACATTGGGCTTACATTTAGCTTAATCTAGCTGAAGATAATTGAATATTGAAATTCTAATATGATATTTAGTGCTACATTTTTTCTTTGTTTTAATTAATTTGTAAAGAAATGAAAACAGAAAAAACCAGTCAAGCCTGTTCAGTAAATATTTTAGCGACAACTTCATCCAATATCTTGTTTTTTTTATGGTCCTTTTGCGCTTTCAAATTAGACGACAAGTTCTCATCTCAAAGATATTCAAGCGTCATAGTCATCGATAAATACAAGGCTAAAGCAGCATACTTAATCCTGCGATAGATTTTACATTAAAAAATGACGTAACGTTGTTGATTGAATTTTAGGATTGTCCCTTTCTGTCTGGATTGTTGTCAAACTGAATCATTCATTTAATTTAACCTTCTTGATCATCTTTTTGTTTCCCATTAGTTCTAACCATGGTATATCATTAAGGGATTACATTATGTCATGTTTTGCATGCTCAACTCAGCTTCTGTTTTTATGGTTATAGTAAACCTAGGTAGTGTCATCATCCTAACTGTAATTGCCATTATGCTTTGCTCGGAAGCTTGTGAAAATGAAGGATGTTTTACCACCGGACGGGATTGACTCTTTCATTCTGATTGTGAAGATTTGTTTCCATATCCATAGTGTTACCTGCTTCATTTCAGGGGGTTCTTTTGTGGTTGTAAAATTGAGAGAGAGTGATGGAGCCAGGCAGGAGGGAGAAATAGAAAGGGATGGGAGCTGGGAGGTGGAGATTAGTAGCATCCCTGATATATGAACCCTATTTTTCTTGTTTTAGTGCTACAATTTTTTTAGTGTTTCGACAGAAGCAATTATACTTAATTGGGTTGTCGTAGTCATTGTATTTTCAAGCTTTATGTCATAGTTACTGTCTCTCTCTTTTTTCGTCCGCTTTGGAATTGTATTACAACACTATGTGTACTTTAGGTTGTGGTTAAAGAAATTACAGTCTCAAAAACAATCTTTCAAAATGGCCAATGATTGTATTTATTATAATATTTGCTTACTGTATAATTAGAGATGGATGGCGGCCATGAACTTATAGTGGAAGGCATTTCTATAATATTTGTTTGAATCAGTATTATTGTACATTGGTAATTTTTGCTAGATCTATTTACTTCTAAAATAACTGTTTGAAACTCAGGTTCTGCTTTAAGTAACAATTTCTAGCCCAAAGTGGTAATATGTTGCACTGCATTTGGCTATTGACTAATAAATTCTTTTTATTCTGTTTAAAGGTTTTAGAGAGAGATCAGATTATGCGTAAATTTCATGAAGTGACAGCTCGGGTGGAGCAAGCTTTGAGTGGAATTACCTATGAGGATCTTGACATATCAGATGAAGTTAAGGAACAGGTATAGCGCTTTCAGTAGAAACATTCTTCAAAGAATTCTACTGTAGATTCTTCATCTTGCTTTGTCATACTTGAATTACAGCAATCTTACCACGGAAGAAAGTTCCTCAAGCTATCACTATAATCATGATTGAGTTTTAATGGAGTTGCATATGATTTAGGGAACCAACTATGGTATGGATAGATAAGCATGGAGATGCTCAAATAGAGCAACCAAAACTACCCTGCTCTCAACACTATTAAACTAGAGTTTGAAAGCCCTAAAGCAGCTTAACGTTACTCAATTTCTTACATCATTTTGTTTATTAAAAAAGGCTTTATGTGTTGAATATTTCTATCTTTAGGTGGAGCTTGTTCTAGCTCAGTTCAGGAGAGCTAAAGGAAGGGTTGACGCCGCAGATGTTGAACTATATGAGTATCTATTATCACTCTACAATAAGAGTAGTGATGCAGCAGCAGATCCAGATGGACTAAGGAGATTAGTTGAGAAGTTACAATTGGTCGGGGTAGCTGAACTTACGCAAGAATCACTAGCTCTACATGAGATGGTTTCTGCCAGTGGTGGAGATTCTGGGGAAACATTTGAGAAGATGTCAAACTTATTAAATAAAATCAAGGATTTTGTACAGACCGAAAACCCTAATTTGGATGCTTTTGCGAGGGAAAAGAATCTTCCTCCTAGTAGTAGTGGTCAAGTGACCACTGATGGAGATCACAAGACTCCAGTTATACCGGATGATTTCCGCTGTCCAATATCCTTGGAGTTGATGAAGGATCCTGTCATTGTTTCAACAGGGCAGGTATATTTGTTGTAGATTTCTTTCTCATGATAGAGCAATATTTTATTCTTTTAAAATTTTAATCATTTTCAGCCTTGGACTCTCCCTGCTTTGTTTGTGTGTGAATGCTCAGATTTGCTTGATATTGCATCATATCACATTGTCATGCCATTAATTTATTTTTGCCAAAGGCTAGTTCTTGAAAGTGTCCTAGCCATATATTTGTTCTCTATTTAAATTGCTTGTAGTAACTGGACTTTAAGTTGCAACATTGAATAATGACTAAAAGGCTTTTATTAGAACCTTATGTATGAAATACCTGCCTTGGACAATTGCACATATATGCAGTGCCCTATGTCTCGTTTACCATTACCTTTGTGCTATATTTGTTAACAGGTTTCATTACTATCTTCTGTAGACATATGAACGTTCTTGTATTGAGAAATGGCTGGAACAAGGTCACGGAACTTGTCCAAAGACGCAACAGACCCTCAGTAGCTGTGCCCTCACGCCCAATTATGTACTGCGTAGTCTAATAGCTCAATGGTGCGAGGCAAATGGCATTGAACCACCCAAAAGACCCAGTAGTTCTCAACCCAATAAAACCACATCTGCCTGCTCACCTGCAGAGCGTACCAAGATTGAAATTCTTCTCCGTAAGCTTGCATCCTGTAGTCCTGAAGACCAAAGAATGGCTGCGGGTGAAATCCGTCTTCTTGCCAAACGAAATGCAGATAACCGTGTGGCCATTGCTGAAGCTGGGGCCATACCTCTCCTTGTGGCCCTCCTTTCAACACCTGATTCACGGACCCAAGAACATGCTGTAACAGCACTTCTTAACCTTTCCATTTGTGAAGATAACAAAGGAAGTATCATGTCCTTTGGAGCAGTTCCCGGTATAGTGCAGGTACTTAAGAAGGGTAGCATGGAAGCTAGAGAGAATGCAGCAGCTGCTCTCTTCAGCCTTTCAGTAGTGGATGAAAATAAGGTGACAATTGGTGCCTCGGGAGCAATTCCTCTGTTAGTGACACTGCTAAGCGAAGGCACACAAAGGGGCAAAAAAGATGCAGCTACAGCTCTCTTCAATTTGTGCATTTACCAAGGGAACAAGGGAAAAGCAGTGAGAGCCGGAGTTGTGCCAACTTTAATGCGTTTGTTGACAGAACCTGGAGGTGGAATGGTTGATGAGGCATTGGCCATACTTGCAATACTCTCTAGCCATCCAGAGGGTAAGTCTGGCATAGGAGCAGCAGAGGCAGTGCCAGTTTTGGTAGATGTTATCGGTAATGGATCTCCAAGGAATAAAGAGAATGCAGCTGCAGTTTTGGTTCACCTCTGTGCCGGAGACCAACAACATTTAGCAGAGGCCCAGGAACTAGGAGTGATGGGTCCTTTGTTGGACTTGGCACAAAATGGTACAGATAGGGGCAAGCGGAAGGCTGCTCAATTGCTAGAGCGTATGAGCAGGTTCATTGAGCAGCAAAAGCTGGGGCAGGCGCAAGCTGAGGCCCATGCTCAGTCTGAGACTCAACATCCACAGCCACCCTCTGTGGCATATGCCATTGATAGATGAGTTTCGCTTTGCCTTGATTTTTGTTCCCTTTTTTCACCTTGTTTCATTTTCTGTATTGAAGGAGGCGGCTTTGCTTCAGAGAGGAAAGATCGCCTATCAAACCTGTAAATTATTCATTTGTTTGCGTGGAAGAATATATTATTCATAGAGCCATTAAAGTTCTGAAAAGAAAGCGAAAGGAAAGAGAAGGGGCCAAGTTGTACTTTGACATGTATGTGAACTTGTACTACTATAATATCTGTTACGACTGTAATCATCCTCAATTTTTATACGAGTGATGTTCGTAGTATTCAAATCAAACGTTGTCAGCCTTGGTCGTTAGTGATATATATATATATATATATATATATATATATATATATATATGTATGTAACCAAAAAAGGGATGTGCTTGGACAAGTGCAAATTTGTCAATCTTGAACTTCATTCTATGTTTTTTTTTAATCTCTATTACCCAGGCAAAACAGTAAAAACTGCTACAGAACACAACACGAGCATTTTACAAAAAACGAGATACCCTAAACGATCCCTCAAGCAATACACAAAGAATGATCAATCACCTGTATCTATCTATATATTTTGAGTCTAGCCAGCTACTTAATAGACTCCAAAATCTCCCTCCCACTTCGAAGTAGCACCAATGAGAACTCTTTGGTTCCTCTCCTGTCAAGTAAACTAAATTGTAGCATTCCATGTAGGGCTGTAAATGAGACGAGACAGATCGCGAGTTACTCGAGATCGACTCAATCAAGGCTCGATAAATACTCGGATCGAATGGACTCGACTCAAGCCCGAGCTCGACTCGAGTTCTTAACGAGCCGAAACGAGCTACTCGATATTCGACTCGAAAAGCTCGTGAGTAGCTCGAAAAAATATTATATTATAATTTTAGATTTTTTAAAATTACATTATTAAAAATATATTAAAAATACATTATTGATAATTATAACATTTTAAAAATATATTAAAAATTCTATTAAATTTTAAAATATAATAAAATAAAAATATGAGTCAATTTAAATATTAATAATTTTAAAAAATATATCAAAATAGAGTGTAACTGATTTTATAAATAATTAAGAAAGAAAAAAATCATTTAAACTTACATTAATATCTTAATTAACAAAATTAATGGCATCAAATCATATTTGAGAGAAAATGATCATCCCTACTACTAACATGTACCATATAAAGTAATTAACAAAATTAATGGCATCAAATCATATTTGAGAGAAAATGATCATCCCTACTACTAACATGTACCATATAAAGTAAAACAAAGACAGATCGATTATAGAAAAAAGAATATTAAAATTTAAAAATTAAAAACAATTTAACAAAACCCTTATTAAAAATATATTTCTAATGATAATATTTTTAATAACTAATTATTTAAATTGTTGTTATATTTTGAGGTTTCGGGTTCAAATATCATAATTCTAAAGAGTTTGAGCATTTAATATCAAGATACTATATTGTACTTACCTCATAAATCGATACCAAGTCGATCAATTAATGTCTTTGCAATTAACTCTAAACTCTAAACCCTAAACATTAAATTACAAATACTAAATCCTAAACCCTAGACTATAAACATTGAACCCTAAATACTAAACCCTACAACCTAAACCTTAAATATTAAAACCTAAATCATAAACCCTTAATCCGATTATGTGATAGGGATTAAGTTATGCACATGAAGGTAACATACAAATTATGCAAAATGATGTTATGTGACTCCTAAATAAATCATTCGCATACTTATACATAAACATATCAACATGTAAAATAAATATACACAACTAATTAAATAAAACAATCCTAAATAGGGATTAAAATAAATAATTAGTGTTAAGGGTATTTTAGTTTTATATTTTTTATTTAATTGAATCTAATTCAAAATATAGTACTATCAATTAACTTTTTTTTAATTATTATTAATAAAAATTATTATTGCATAGATATAATAATCAAATATGCTAATGATTCATATATAATTTACTCGTCCATTCCTGCTACTATGCTCGGGCTTTGGTGCTATGCAGTTGAGAGGCATGGGCGCATGGCTAAGAAAATGAAGTGTTGGTGTGGCTGTTGCCTTGGGGGAAGGGAGAGAGAAGCTAATTAAGTTGTTGTTAACTGGGGCTTCGGGAAGTGCAGTAGAGAGCCTATGGCCTTTCCAAATTGAAACAATCCCACATCGGTAACTTAATAGGGAGAGAATGCTTGAGTCTATTATAAAAGGCAGGGGTTCTAATCAAAGCGCATCAACACTGGTTGGAAACTATTTTTGAGTCGAGTTTGAAACAAGTTTTAATATTTTTGAGTTTTAATAGTTTGAGTCGAGTTTTAATATTTTTTGAATATTTTTTGAGTTTGAGTTGAATTTGATTTGTAAATTTTTAAGTTGAGTTTATTTTTAAAGTTTTTAAGTTTGAGTTAAATTTAATAATATATTTGAGTTTGACTCGGTTCGTTTACATTTTTAATTATACGTGGTTTTCACAATGTAAACCAGCATCGATTTGCCCTTTTGCTTAGTAGAAGCCCAACACATCGCCTCATCCCAACTAGCAACAACCCTATTAGCAAGATTGCTCAACCTCACAACAGAAATAGAACCAGAATTAAATATTAGCACGATTAAAGTTTTAAAAAAGGTATAATACTTGTTAGGTATTTAAATTTAAACACAAATCAAGCGATCTTAAAATAATTGTTATTATTTTTTGAGGTCCTGGGTTCGAGTACCAAGAATGTCGGGATGTAAACGTTTAACGTCAAATAATTGAGATTCATCTTTGAACATATATTGCCTTGTACTCATCCCAGATTAATAAAAAAAACTTAAAATTCATAATACAATACTTAATTTGTTTAATATTTAAACTTACAATAACTTAAATTATTACGAGATCAAAACGTTTGAGAATATAAAATTATCATTCTTTAATTCAATCCGTACTTGATTAATATATAATAAATATTTATATTTTTAAAATTTGAATACTTACTTTTATCTGAACTAAAATATTATTAGACTAAAGTATATCGAATTTATAATTTTTTTACAGGGGTCGGCCCCTTTGGGCCTAGCAGAGCTCCGTCTCTCCCCAGAACAGATTCCCAAACGCTCCTTGAGAAATCACACTCAAAGAACAAGTGATCTCTAGTCTCTCAAACAGCTCCCCAAAAGCAACAAACACCATCAGTAACGATTCCCATCATACTCAATTTATCCTTGTTGGCAAGTCTATCTAAAAGGGATCAACTTTCTTTTCACAAAAGCTTTGCTAATGTATTCACTGTTTGTGGATAATCTGCCGCCAAAGTTGCACTGGAAGGAATTATGGCAATTATTCGGTAGGCATAGTAAAATCATGAGTGTGTTCGTTGCAAGTAAACGAAGTTGAGGAGGGATAAGGTTTGGTTTCGTACGAGTAGGTAGTAGATTGGATGCGATGAAAGCAATTGAAAGTCTGAATGGGGCGATAGTTTACGACAATAAAATTTCGGTGATGTTTGCAAAGGTTAATAATAGAGGAAAACACGCAGAAGAATATGTAAGATATGAGAAAAGGCAATCGAACAAGGAAGAGACTGTAGTAAGGAAGAGGGAGTCAAGCTTACAAATGGTGAAAGAGAGAAAGAGGATCAATGCTCATGTTGAAGCTGATGATTTGTGGAAGATGAGTAGGAGCTTGGTAGGGGTATCGGCTACTGTTTGCACTGTTAGTAGTATTATGCTGAGGTTACAACAATGGGGTCTCAAGGAAATCAAAATTCATAGATTAGGAGGCAAAACTTTTTTAATATCCATAGAAGATGAGGACTTATTCTTGCTGATGAAGGATCTTAAGTGGTCCTACTTGAAGGAGATTTTCGTGGAGGTTAATCTCTGGTCAGAGTCCTTAAACAATGTTACCTTGAAAAGGATTGCTGAGTTATAGGGGAATTTTGAAGCATTTGGGGAGAACGTAAGTCACCAGAAGGATTACGAGAAGGTTACAATGTTATTGACAACAAACCAAGCTTTGAGAATAGAAGAGGTGGTGCAAATCATTGTGTAAAACATGTGCTTTAAAGTTAGAGCGGTGGAATTAGGATTTTCCGAGAATTCGTTGGATTATAAAGGGGCGATTAAGCAAGGGTTTCATGAAGATAAAGGAGAAAAAAGTAAGGATAGTGGATCGACTTCTTCGCCGGAGCAATTGTCGGAAAGTTTTGAATGCAGGAAAGAGAGGGTGGAGGAGTTTTATCTCAAGTGGTGGTTAATAGAAAAAGAAGAATATATGGCTCACTTTGGGAAATCCAGGACATAGCTATTTCGTTTGGAGATTGTAGGAAGAGGGATCGCGCTTTCAAGGAACACAAGATGCAAAAGAAAGACTTAAGAGTCCTCAGAGCTTTCAGGTAGATCGTTATCTGATGGACCTCACAATAAAGCGACTTTTAGCGATCAAAGAGGTAAAGAAGACATTGGAATTGGGGAAATACTTGGAATTCAAGTGGTAGAAAACGAGAAGGTGGTGCAAGAATTAGCCTTATTGGTGAGTGAATAATAAATAGGAAGGTCTTTTGGGGTGTGAAGAGATTTGGTTGATGGCCAGATTTTGATGTTGAGGATGTTCATGGTGTTTTTGTTGATTGGTTACTGCTATCGATCTGTCGCAGGTTGTTTTGGAGCTGGACGATCTCTTTTCATATCAGGTTTGGCAGTCAAGTTCTAGTTTCGCTTTTAGGTTCGTTGAGTATTTTGGTGTCGTAGGTGATTCTAATTTTATTTGCTCTGATCAATATGTTTTCTTAATATGTTATTTGCCAAGCAGGAAATAAGAGGCAGTGAGGTCCATGGTTTTGGGTAAAAATTAGGGGTTCATGTTATGGGTGATGTTGTGGTAGCTGTCTAAGAGTTGGTGTTATTAGAAAAAGCTTGAATAATCTCGAATGGGGTAGGTGGTCAATTGTTGAAGTTTGAAGTTTTTATGTGGGATGTTGGGTAAAATCAGGTTTGATTAATTCAATTGGCTGTGTCTATGCTTCAAGTACTCTGTCAAAACAAGTTGAGTTGTGGTTTGAGTGGTTAGCTTTAAAGGCGTCCGTTGGCTAGAATCAGGTTTTTTATCACAATAAGGATTGAAGTGAGTGTAGGGATCGTATTGCTTGAGGTCGGATTGCTTACAATTTAATGAATTCTTCTCGAACTGCAATTGATCGTGTACAAGGTGATTGGTGGAGCGTTCTTGTTTTGAACGC